GGGTGCTACTTGTGAGGAAACTTTCAATCACAATAAAGTTATAAACAGTATTGAAAGCACTATTTTCTGAAAGTACGCAGTCGATAGTACATAAATCCGTCAGAAATGGAAAATCGAAAACAGTGTCCAAAATCGCTTTCTGAAGGAAGCAGGGAAGAAAGACCTTAAGAATACCTACAAAAAATAAAAGTTCTCACTCAGCGCCAATGTGGCCCATTCTGGCCCATTCCGGCCCATTCCAGCCCATTCCGGCCCATTCCAGCCCATTCCGGCCCATTCCAGCCCATTCTGGCCCATTCCAGCCCATTCTACCATTCCAGAAACGCTTTTTCCCCCTTGCAATCAATAATTAATTTAATTCTGTTCTAATCTGAACTTCTGAGCACCTTCTAAGTAACTTCTGAGAATTGTATGATGCTATTTATATACAAATATATACATGCCGAGGTACTACTTTTTCTGATATATCAGTCATTAGACTGTCTATAAATTACGTCAATCAGTCAGTGACTGCTATTTTTCTCGAAATATAGACAGTCTAATGACTGATATATCAGAAAAAGTAGTACCTCGGCATGTATATATTTGTATATAAATAGCATCATACAATTCTCAGAAGTTACTTTTCCAGTTCAGATTAGAACAGAAAAGTGACATAGCGGAAATATCTTCGAGTTCATAACAGAAGATAATTCAGACCACCTGATGAGACCGTCGAGCACCGGTCAAAACGCGTCATGGCATGCTCAAACAAAGTCCAACCCGTCCTGTCTCGCAAAAGAACAGGAAGAAGTGGTATTTCTCTTCTACTGGATAGAGTGTATATATTGGGTGCGATTGTGTGTTTCTACAGCAGATGAAAGTCAGATATATTGATTGCCTGTTGAAAATAGAGTTCCCTTGCGATCATTGGAGAGAGTTCGAGAGAGTTAGAGTTCCCCTTCGACCGGTGCTGGACGGTCTCATCAGGTGGTCTGAATTATCTTCTGTTATGAACTCGAAGATATTTCCGCTATGTCACTTTTCTGTTCTAATCTGAACTCGAAAAGTAACTTCTGAGAATTGTATGATGCTATTTATATACAAATATATACATGCCGAGGTACTACTTTTTCTGATATAGCAGTCACTGAGTGACTGGCGTAATTTTTCTTTCTCTTTTATCAGTACACTCGGTCTTTTGTTTTATTTTGATTTTTGCATCATTTATTCATCAGAAAAATGACCTATATTAGATCATTTCTTCGTCCAGTCTCTGTTTCAAGAATAACGCCGGTTCTTCTATTTAACGGACACATCTTGGTCGAAAAAAAGCGATCATATGACGAATGAAAATGCTGTTTGTTTTTCAATACATTGTAGTGTCATTAATGTTTCAGCCCTTGAAAATGAATAACAAAATTCAATGTGACCGTCTTCATGTTCTAAACCATCGCGTGACCATTTTGAAACAAGATAAAATGGTAATGAACGTAAGTCATTTGCCGGACTATGTATGGATGCAAAAAAACGACTAATATTGTATGCTAGTTTTCTGAGAACGGAGCTAGTTTTCCAAAGATCCTCTGGAAACACGAGCGTTGAAACTTTTTCGAAAGTTGTTTTCGCTTGTGGAAAGTTCCGCTCAAGTCTTGGCTATCGAACAGCGAAAATCGCAGGTCTCTATCTGTCTCATGTGAGAAGTTATTCAGAAAGCAACCAGGGTCGCCGTATTTTGGCGACGATAGTAGTTTTCTTCGCATCATCTGAACGAACAGAAGGCAATTGTTTATTGAAAAAAAAACCATTAGAAAACCCTAGAGTTCTCCGAAATATTCTAGTAAACTTTTAACCAACACGGTCGTTCAGCTTTCTCGATCGTATAATGATATTAGTAGCAAAATTAATCAAAAACGTAAGTGTTAAACTCGTTCTGATACTTTTTGAATGAATTAACTTAACAAGGGAGAGTTAAAAACCTCTTGGAAACGACACGAAAACAACTGTGACATTCGTTTATTCATTCTAAAAAATAAAGGTATATTCTACGTCATCTCAGTTCTAAAAGTTGTAATTACTTTTAGTTTCTCAAAAAATTTTAATTTATTTTATCATCAGTTTTCTATTTAGAATAATATATTACTCTACTCACTTTCTAAATTGTGATAATAGTGTTACGTTTGTATGTTCTTACACAATGTCAGAGGACAAGGACAAGGTAGAACACATCAGATCGTTAACCGGAAGTATTGTTAATCTAACGGAGATTTCAATATCAACAGTCTCAAGATATTTTAGTTGTGATTTAGTTGATTTCAATAAATATGGATTTCATAACATGAAATTTTTTAATAAATATGATTTAAATAATCGTACACACACACGATTATAAACAGCAATGAATGTAAATCATACGGTAACAATTACAAATATTAAAAAATCACAAAACAAGTATTATTTTGAAGAAAATAGTCAAGTTACTTAAAATCTAAATTCAACAGCTGTCGATCCCACGCCACTCATATCTATCGAAAAAATAAAAGATGAAAACAACGATACCATACATACAGTTAAAGGTACATTTAATGTGGACAGAGTCCTACAGAAATTGTTCTATGTTTCAGTTCTAGAGAAAAAAGGGTCGATAGTTAAATAGTATTAATAATAGAATCTGAAAAATTGAGACTGCACGTTGAGTCTACGTGTACTCTGGAAACCCTTACGCTAAATCAGTTAGCAATATGTCTGATAGCTCAGGTCAGCCGCTAAAAGAAATATAGCATCATTAGAGAAGAATCATAGGCGACGTGAGCACATTAAAGACAGCATCACTAAATGAATAGAAAATGAATATAAATGATATCAGGAAGATATATCATAAACATTCAGTCTAGGTAAAATAGTTTCAATAGTAGATCCGGAAACATTTTCATATAATATGAAGAATGGCACAAAGAGCCGCAGAATGGAAACAACCAAACAAGATATATTGATAACAGACGAGACCGAATCAATTTATATAACGGTTTGGGAGGAACAAGCTACATATCGGGCTTGTGATTTTAGAGCTTCCATCAACGCAAATATGGGAAGTTGCTTCTGTATTAGAATCATTTACATGTTCTAACAAAAGCTCTATGGAAGAACTTAATAACGAGAATAGAAAGCGAATGCCTTGGCTAACGGATGCTCACTATTCAATTGAAGGAAACTATTATGTAACTATGATCGTTTAAAACCTTCTGTCCATGACTAGATCGATTCTAGAGGTCGTTCACAATGATTTTCGGATTCGGCATGGTCGACTACCTATTTCGTGTCCTTTTGATCCAATCAAGTCGAAATACAGTTTTCGACGAATAAAATCGACCCTAGAGGTCGATTTTCAACCCTCATATTCATTTTCGGGTTCTCCGTAGTCGATTACCTCTACTATGAAAGTTTCATGACTGTATGTCTCTTCGTGGATGAGAAAATAAGGTTTTCGTTCTCTTGCGACCGCCCATACATACATGCGTGCATGTATGTATGTATATATGCATGCATACATACATACATACATACAGGCATCTTAACTAGATGATACTCTTTCCTTTACAATCATGGGAATATCATTAAAAAAAATGTGCGTTTTTGTGGATATAAGGATTAATAAAAAAAATACAAGTATTTTTCAACCTTGAATACATACTTGCATGGAAGTTAAACACATCGATGTAGTAATGTGTTGCCGTAACAAAGAAAAATATGAGATTTTGACAGCACAGCAGTGTCTGACAATTTCGCGACTCTAAACTGTTGTCAAAATCTCATGTTTTTGTTCGTTAAAAGCAAAATTTCTTCATATTGCTAAATTTTAGATAGAATCACTTTTTAAACTCATAAAAGAGAGATAGAAAATATTTTATAGCTGTTTCATTGAACATCGTATACAAGTTTCGGTCACATACGAATTTTACATTTAGAACTATACATGTACAGAGATTTTATTTACTTGTGCCAGTCGCTAATAGTATAGAATAAGCATCAAACAATGTCTGTTTTTCCTGCTCGAGAATCGTTCGAGCAAATTATCGATGGTAAACAGATCTTGCTTTATATTTTAACGAATTCGAAGAATACTACTAAAGCGGCGATTACTAACTATGGTGGTCGATTAATTGGTTTTTACGTTCCAGATAAAAACGGCCAGTTGATCGATATTCTAGAAGGATTTGATAATCTCGATCAGTATACGCAAGGAACTGATAATTACTTTGGCGCATTGATTGGACGATACGGAAACCGAATTGCTAAAGCGAAATTTACACTCGATGGAAAAAAATATCAATTGAATGCAAACAACGGCCCGAACAATCTGCATGGTGGTAACAAAGGTTTCTCGCGTCAAGTGTGGGATGCTAAACAAACAGCAGACAATTTGTTAGATCTGACATATTTCTCGTCAGACGGCGAAGAAGGATTTCCGGGTAATCTGAACGTTAAAGTGACATACGAGATTACTGATGCAAACGAGTTAAAAATCAATTATAGAGCAACAACGGATAAGAAAACAGTTATTAATCTCACAAATCATGCTTATTTTAACTTGAATGGACAAGGAAGCGGAACAATCGTTAATCATTATCTGCGACTAAATGCTGATTACTATACACCTGTTGACTCAACATTGATTCCACAAAACAGTAAACATGCCTCAGTAACAAATACTCCATTCGATTTTCGAAATTTAACAAAAATAGGTTATCTTATGGAACTAGGGCAATCGACAAACAACGAACAACTATTGTTCGGTCAAGGATATGATCACAACTTTGTTTTGAACGAAGGTAACTCTTCTGCTACTGTCATAGGAGATCTATCAGGTATTCAAATGGATATCTATACTCAAGAACCTGGTCTTCAATTTTATAGTGGAAATTTTCTGGATGGATCGAACAGAGTTAAAAATGGAAAAACAGACAATTATCAAACCTCATTCTGTCTAGAAACACAACATTTTCCTGATTCACCCAATCAACCATCGTTTCCTTCGACAACATTAGACTCTGGCGAAGTATATAAAACAAGTACCATTTATAAGTTTTCTGTACAACACGAATAAACTTCCAGTGGTGCATTACTTTATAGTTATCCATTGAATCAAAAAAGACACCCTTCGGAGAGACTACTCAAACGACACAAGCTTTAGACTACTGAGTGGGTTGGATTTATCAGACCAGAACCCAACCCGACACCCGAAAGATAGTTAAAAGTATGCATTCATGTAAAACACATGAATATGTGTTACGCAAAACATATGATGGAAGATCAAGCATTATACTAGTATTTCGCCCACGAAGCTAAGTTGTGTTTATGAAACTCTTTCGTGCACATTTCATTTGATTTTCCATCATATGTTTTACATAACACAATCTAATTCCTTGATCAATATCCAGATCGCTCAATTTTTCGTGAGTATTTATAGACCATGACCCCCATTTTCCTCTTTTTCGATGATTTTGTTACAAAAATGCCTGATTTTTAGCAATTTTAGATTTAAATATAGTTTTAGATATATGAGTTATTTTTTAAGGTGAAGAATTTCAGTACAGAAAATAGGAGATAAATCACCTTTATAGTCATGAAAACTAGACTATTTTCTGTTAGAGACGTTTCTTTATTCAAAAGACATCATGAGTCAAATGTGACAGACGATATAGCTGATTGAAAAGAAAATATAAAATACAAAACAGATAAAGACAACTTTTCCTTTTTCCACAATACCTGACGACTGAATGCGTGCTACATATTTGTATTCCATTTTATCTTTTATTTTGAATCAACTATCGTCTATCACATTTGACTGCTGATGTCCGTAGTGAAACTTCTTGTACCCCCTCCCCTCGAGATCTTAGAAATAACACCAAGAAGTCAAGATCTTGGATTCTTGAACCTTTCGCTCAAGATCTTGAAACATCCTGGCTTACTTCGCTCAAGATCTTAGGAACAGAAATTTGGGTAAAGCCACGCGAAGTGTTGCAAGAGCTTGAGTGACAAATTTTCTGCACATTTTGTTTTTATTTATGACAGTCGTAGCCATTGGATATACGACTGTACAGCGTCATAGATTCATCCTTAAACAACTATGGTCAAGAAGGAAAAAAATTCGAAGGTATTCTAAGTGTGAAAATATTCGCACTTATATTTACGCAAGAATGCAAGACAAAATGATGATTCAAGAATTTCCAAGATCTTGGTACAAGAAGTCAAGAAATTACAAGATATAAGGTGCAATTAATGCAAACTTACAGTGGAATTTATTTTTAACTTTATTATACATATTCAGATTCAGCTTAACGACTAATTACGAATACGCTCTGGCCAGCCATCTCTGCTACCGGAGTGAAATTCCATAACGATTTTTTTGCATTTTGTTTTTCTTATAATGTTTGAGTAACGAGACGCCTAGAGATCTAGAATATCACAGATTAAAGAGAAAAGTGTGCTAAAGATTCTGAGATGTTCCTACAGTCTACACATTCTTTCATTCAGAAACTATGAGAAAAATACAAACACCTACTTTTAAAAGTATAAAGAGCTTTTTTCAAAACTCTTTTTCCTTGCTGAGCAAAATGGCTTTTACTGAAGACCAAAGAGAAGCAGCGAGGAGATCTTTTGAAAACCAGGCCGCATTTAAAATTTTTCAATAAGATTGTATTGATTTTCTTCCATGCTATGAGAGCCCAAGGTATCCTCTTCGATGTGACAGTCAAGCGAGACTTTGGTTTTCTGCGGCTCGGATGTTGTGTCGGATTTCTTGCGAGTCCTAGGGCTGGCACCCGGTGACTATTGGTAGCCTTGAAAACGCATGGTTAATCGATCATGCAAAACGCATAGGTAATCGATCATGCTGAGTCTTGTGGCAGTATTTGTTTCTAGAAAAAGTTCTAAAAGTCTACCGAAAAGCGAGTTTTACGAAAAATTTAGGTTTTCAGGCTGTTTCCACCTATTAAAAAATTCACTATTCACTCAATAAGGTGACCATTTGGTGACCGAATATGTTCAGTTGCGAACAGTTTGGTGACCGTGACAAACCGTTCTGTGCCGATCAGCGATTCCTAGTTTGGGATTGTTGCAGGCCTACTTATAGTTATATACCGTCTCCTACTGTAGTCGGAGGAGTGGCACTTGAGTGAATAGCTTAAATACAAGTTCAACTAGCACCGACGGATATCACTGGAAATGCCAAGTGAATTTTATTTGGATATCTAAGCTTCTGCTTAATTTCTAATGAAAGTTTGAATAAAAGTCAGACTGAAACGAGCATGATTATAGAAACAAATCCGACTATTTCTTATAAACTCACTTATGCCAACACTTCGGGAAAGAAGTAACTCGAATGAATATGGGTTTATGAGTGCTTGGTTGTTCATGATTAAACTGTATCGTTAGTACGGTCGATGTAGCGGAAAAGTATTTTTTTCTTTCGTTTATATATTCCGACGACAAAGTTCCGTACGTTCTTCCACATTACGTTTATCCGTATGCGTCATGAGTTCTTCCCCATTAATAGAGTATTGAATTAAAGGATTAAATATGAAAGTAAATAGGTTACTTCCGATTAACCGACGTTTGAGCGACCGACATCTGAGCGACCGACACTTGAGCGACCGACATTTGAGCGACCGACACTTGAGCGACCCCGACACTTGAGCGACTGACACTTGAGCGACCGACATTTGAGCGACCCCGACATTTGAGCGACCAACACTTGAGCGCCCCGACATTTGAGTAATAACGACCGTTCAGCACCAAGTGCTCACTCTCACCCTCACCCCCACTCACCCTTACCCTACACAGCCTCACCCTCAGATCTCCAAATAATTCAGTTCATA